GTAGTACCATCTTCCCACACCCATCTTCTCTCTAGGCGGATACGAGTCAGTCCGAAGAAAAAGGCAGTGTTTCTATCGACGGCATTCTTTAGGTTGATGAGGAAGTTGTCGGTGGAGGCATTGCGGGGCATGGCGAGGGTTCCGCCGTAAAATGTACAGGTTGCTTTAGCATCGTCGTAGTTACTTGATCGGTTGAAGGCTTTGTAGCACAGTCGGTTAGTCTGACGGTATGTGTACCCACTGGGACAAGCTGTTTTGGGGAAGAGTATGGTTCACATAATAAGTGATGTGCTTTCATAGCAAATGCATTAACACACACACACACACACACACACACACACACACAGAGAGAGAGAGAGAGAGAGAGAGAGAGAGAGACTATTGTACATTGTAGGAGGCAATAAAAGAAGCTGTGGATGGATGGTGATTATGTATGTGTAGAGGATGTGGAAACGAAGGTGACGTTCAAAAATTACGTTCACCTGGCGCCTTCCTGCGATACTGCAGCTGGATTTGTATGTATGTATGTATGTATGTATGTATGTATGTATGTATGTATGTTTGTGTATGTCGACTACATATCTAGAGAAGCTTTGGGTGGTTATGCATGGTGTTTATTGGATGTGTAGGGGTCGCAAAGAGGAAGTTCAAGTTGGAGAAGGGGTCTTCTAGTGTGCATAACAGCAGCTTTCGGGTAAAATTTTCTGGAATTCCAGCTTCGTGATTAATAAGTAGTAGAAAGCTCTTGGTGCTGGGATGATGTAAAGAAAAACGTTCTGGTTAAAGCAAAAAATATTACAGTTCTGCAACCACAACACAAACACAAATAATCACGTACAATCAGATAACTCCACGCAAAAATAGCAAAACTATTCGTGTCGTATGCATGCATATATTCTGATTTTTGCTTAACACGCGTCCTTCAAACAAGAAAACAGACAACACTGCCTATTGCTTCACTCACAAGTGGCAAACTTCGAAAACACACAAAAAACACAAGCCACCATGTATGCAGTTCAACGGACATGCTGATTGTACTTTATAGGAGGTAATAAAATAAGCTGTGGATTGGATGGTAATGATGTATGTGAAAAGTTGTGGAAACGAAGGTGAAGTTCGAAAATTGCGCTTTTCTGCGGTACTGCAGCTGGGTATGTACGTGTTTGTATGTCGACTACATGATTAGAGAGGCTTTGAGTGGTTATGCATGATGTTTATTGGATGTGTTGGGGTCGGAAAGAGGAAGTTCAAGTTCGAGAAAGAGTCTTCTAGGGTGTATAACAGCAGTGGAGCTTCAAAGTTTCGGGTAATTTCTTGGAAGTGCCAGGTTCGTGATTCATGAGTAGTAGAAACATCTTGGTGCTGGGATGATACAAAGAAAAATGTTCCGGTTAAAGTAAAAAAAATTATTACAGTTCTGCAACCACAACACAAACACAAATAATTACGTACAATCAGATAACATAACTACACGCAAAAATAGCAAAACTATTCATGTCGAATACATGCGTATCTTTTAATTTATTTATTTTTTTGCTTATCACGCGTCCTTCAAACAAGAAAACAGATAACACTACCTATTGCTTCACTCACAAGTGGCAAACTTCGAAAACACACAAAAAACACAAGCCACCATCTTTGTAGTTCAACGGACATGTAGGGGTATACGTTGTATAATTACTCACGCCTTGAAGGAGAGGTTATAAGCTTTTAATAGGTTCAGTGCTCGGAAAGTGCCCTGGACAAGACGATACAGGCTTCATAAAGGCCCACGACATTTGAACTTAAAAGCGTGGTACTTAAAGAAGAAAAAGATTAAAGCCATAATATTGAAGCCATAGTTTGAAGGCCATGGTGTTAGGTTGGTGGGACCTGACAAATGAAATTCCTATTATAGGAACACGCAATATCGTTCCACATGTTCCTGGCGACAGCTTCCCACCAATTCGCGGAAGTATACTCCCCACAGTCCTGGTTACCCCAAGAGTTGCTGGGTTGTCTTATACCCCACGGATGGAACCCTCCAAGAGCAGTACCGTCTTCCCACACCCATCTTCCCTCCTGTTGGATGTCCGTCAGTCCGAAGTAAAAGAAACCGTCTTCATCGACGGCATTCTTCAGGTTGATGAGGAAGTCGTTGGTGACGGCATCGCGGGGCATGGCGAGGGTTCCGCCGTCAGATATACAGGTTGCCTTAGCGCCGTTGTAGTCTCTCTCCAGGTCGTACGCCTTGTAGCAAAGTCGGTTAGTCTGATGGTATACGTACCCACTGGGACAAGCTGTTTCGGAGAAGAGTATGGTTCAGATAATCAGTGATGTGCTTTCGCGGCAAATGTATTAACACACACCCACTATTGTACTTTATAGGAGGCAATAAAAGAAGCTGTGGATGGATAGTGATGTTGTAAGTGTAAAGGTTGTGGAAAGGAAGGTTAAGTTCGAAAATCGTGTTCACCTGGCGTTTTGCTACGGTAATGCAGCTGGGTATGTATGCATGTACGTATGTCTGCTTGTATGTCTACTACATATCTAGAGAAGCTTTGGGTGGTTATGCATGATGTTTATTGGATGTGTAGGGGTCGCTAAGAGGAAGTTCAAGTTCGATAACGGGTCTTCTAGTGTGTATAACAGCAGCGGAGCTTCAAAGTTTGAGGTAATTTTTTCTGAAATTCCAGCTTCTTGATTTATAAGTTGTAGAAACTCTGGAGCTGAGAGGGAGTAGAGTGATGTAAGCCCCCCTCCCCCCAGGCAGGATTTTTTTAAGAATGACATAAAAACAAACTTTCTGGTTAAAGTGGAAATTTATTTCATTCTGCAACCACGGCACGAACATAAATACTTGTGTGCAACCAGATGCCATCACTGTTAAGTTCGCGCGACTTGACAAATGAAAGCAAACTTCCTAGAGGGGTGGCCGGTGCACGAAATATCGTTCCACTTGTTCCTGGCGGTAACGTGTACGTAATTGTTGGAAAAATACTCAGCACAGTTTTCGTTATCAAATCCGTTGTCAGGTTGTCCCGAACCCCACGAGCTGAATCCTACAAGAGCAACACCGTCTTCCCACACCCAGTGTCCTTCCTGGCGGATGTCGGTCAGTCCGAACCGGAAGAAAGCGTTTTTATCGACGGCATTCTTCAGGTCGATGAGGAAGTTGTTGGTGGCGGCATCGCGGGGCATGGCGAGGGTTCCGCCGTCAGAAGAACAGCTTGCTCTAGCATTGCTGTAGTCCCTCTCCAGGTCGTACGCCTTGTAGCACAGTCGGCTAGCCTGATGGTATGTGTACCCGCTGGGACAAGCTATTTTGGGGACAGGATGGTTCAGATGATCAGTGACACCTTTCCAATCACGTCGTGATGTGATGTACTATCGTAGCAAATACAGCAAGTATACACAAACTATATGTCATACATTTAAGTTGACTACGATATGCCAACCTAACATAGAATGTTATATTACTGGTACGCTGCATGCATATAGTCTATGACATCATCCAGGATTTGTACATTGTATCAGTGACTAAATAAAGTAAGGTATTAGGAGAGCTGGAATTCGCAAAGGATGCCGGAATGATGTTAGATATGGTGATGACGATAAGAATGATAGAAGATGCACTGCAGTTACAAGACACATGCATAAATCTCTCAAGGTCACAACATTTTCTGACATCGACCTCATTTTATGTAATTAGCGTATTTCTCAAGGTCTCAATCTTTTCTAACATTGACCTCATTTTTTGTAATTTAATATCTCTCAAGAACACAACATTTCCTGACATTGACGTCAACTTTGTAACAAATAGAACTTAGTACAGTAAACCGTCTTAAAATCTAAGACCCGTCCCTTTCACACCTAATCTAAGGACAGAGAGAGTCTACAATGCAGGTCGCAGATTGTATGCAGATTATTGAATGAAGTTGAGACACCGTGGTGGTTGACGGGGCTGCTAGCCATGGAGTTTGGTAAACGACTGGACATGAAGCCACACTCTTCACAAAAGCTGACACGGAACTATAACGTAAAGCATGGCTATGCCTTTGTAAGAAGGGAATGTTTGACGCTATCGTTTGAACACTAACGTGCTAAGTTGGCGCGACCTGACAAATGAACTTGTTATTGGGATAGTAGGAGCACGAAATGACGTTCCACTTGTTCCTGAAGGAAGCGTCCACGTAATTCGCGGAAACATACTCCACACAGTCCCCGTTACTCAGGTTACTAGGTTGTCCTGGGCCCCACGAACTGAAACCCCCAAGAGCAACATCGTCTTCCCATACCCATCGCCCTTCCTGTTGGATGTCGGTTAGTCCGAAAATAAAGTCAGCGTTTCCATCGACGGCATTCTTCAGGTCGATGAGGAAGGTGTTGGTGACGGCATCGCGGGGCATGGCGAGGATTCCGCCCTCAGAAGTACAGGTTGCTCTAGCATTGTCGTAGTCACTCTCCTGGTTGAACGCCTTGTAGCAAAGTCGGCTAGCCTGATGGTATGCGTACCCACTTGGACAGGCTATTTCGGAGAAGAGTATGATTCAGGTGATCAGTGATGTCCTTTCGCGGCAAATGCATTAACACACACACAATTGTACTTTATAGGAGGCAATAAAAGAAGCTGTGGATGGATAGTGATGATGTATGGGTAGAGGTTGTGGAAACGAAGGTGAAGTTCGAAAATTGCGCTTTTCTGCGGTACTGCACCTGGGTATGTACGTGCTTGTATGTCGACTACATGATTAGAGAAGCTTTGGGTGGTCATGCATGATGTTGGATATGTAGGAAAGAGGAAGTTCAAGCTCAAGAATGAGTCTTCTAGTGTGCATAAAAGCAGCTTCAAAGTTTCAGGTAAATTTCTGGAATTCCAGCTTCTTGATTTATAAGTTGTAAATCTGGAGCTGAGAGATAGTAGGGTGATGTAAGCCCCCCTCCCCCCAGGTAGGATTTTTGTAAGAATGACATAAAAACAAACTTTCTGGTTAAAGTGAAAATTTATTTCAGTTCTGCAATCACGGCACGAACATAAATACTTGTGCGCAACCAGATGCCATCACCACAGGTATGAAATATAGCAAAACTATCCGTGTCGTGTGCATGTTTATCGTCGACAGTAGGAACACAGAATGACCCTCCATTTGTTCCTGAAGGAAGCGAAAACATACTACACACAGTTCTGATAGTTTAAAGGCCATGGTGTTAAGTTTGCCCCTCTTGACAAATGAACTTCCTTCTGGTGGAACATGGCATATCGTTCCATTTGTTCGCGAAGCGGTGATTTGCGGGACGATACTCCCCACAGTCCTCGTTATCCGAATTGTCAGGTTGTCCTGATTCCCACGAACTGAAACCTCCAAGAGCAGTGCCATCCTCCCACACCCAGCGTCCTTCCTGGCTGATGTCCGTCAGTCCGAACCAGAAGTAAGCGCTGTTATCGACGGCATTCTTCAGGTTGATGAGGAAGGTGTTGGTGGCGGCATCGCGGGGCATGGCGAGGGTTCCGCCGTCAGAAGAACAGGTTGCTCTAGCACCGCTGTAGTCCCTCTCCAGGTTGTACGCCTTATAGCACAGTTGGCTAGGCTGACGGTATGTGTACCCACTGGGACAAACTGTTTCGGGGAGAGGATGGTTCAGATAATCAGACATCTTGTCAGTCACGTCGAATTTGCGATGCATTGCGATGTGCTATTGTGTCAAATCCACACCAACTACATTGTACATGTAAGTGGACTACAATCTTGGAATAACATACGTTATATTACGGCTAGGCTATACACCTATGAATTTATTATAGTAGCGTTAGAATCCAGGGATTTGTACAGGGTATCTAAGACTGACAAACTGAGAGATAGAAAAAAAAGGGGTGACCCGCATCGTCGACAGACGTGAGCGGCGATGATGATGATGATGATGATGGATTGGGATTATGATCGATGGATATAGTAATGATGATACATAATGTGATAAAGTGCATTGCAATCTGACCAAGAGGCATGGTTGATGTAACTCTGGTTTAATAACATGAATGTCGCGAGTTTAAACATCCATTGGGCATTGTATTGATCAGTATTATGTGGGTCATTCTGGTGTCACCAGATTTTGTACGATCTACTCAACAGCGCTAGCCACAACATGAACTGCAAGCTGATCACACCATATTTGGTCGGTGCATTTGGCATGATGGTACAGTAGAATTGTTTTAGCGAGAAAGTTGTTCTAGTATTAGTGACACCTTTTTTTCCAAAATCAATGCCCCTTTAACACCAAACCTTAGGACGGATTGTGTCCACGATGGTTAACAGGTTTGAAAACGATGCCTCAAACACGTGCTGGTTAACGGGCCTGCTAGCCATGTTGTCAAGGGTTTGCCTCAGGGCATTTGCAATGCCAACGCAAAAGATTGTGGTGCCATCGTTTCTCAGTGCTTCAGAGTCCGATACGACATCTCCGCTGAAACTGTCTTCGCCGTCTGTGAGGACGATCCCGATCTTCCTCGCTGCCGGTCGCCCGGAAGTGGAGAATTCGTTACGCATAACGGACAAACCCGCGACAGAGGGAACTCGGCTGCCATGACTGTTGAACATGGTGCTGATCATAGACAACAAGGTAGGCTTACTGCCGGTGAGAGAAATGTACGTCTCGGCCATGCTATATTCAAATTTGATCAGCCCAACTCTCGCGTAACTTCCCCCTATTGTGACGGAGTCTATTACATCTCTAATAAAGGCCATGACCATTGCTCTATCGGAAGGGTCCGAAACGCTGCCGGAAACGTCGATCGAAAAGATGATGTCAGCTGCGCTGTCGCAAGCTAGAGAATATAGATGAAGAACAGGCATCTGTCAAAATTGCAGCTAAGCTGTGTATTATTGGCCTCCTGAAATGCTAGCTTACTTTTAGCTGTTACGTCAAAGAGAAGATAGCATGCATTACGAGTAAGTGAGTTAGGAAGTGAGTAATGAAATGTATGGTAGAGTAAAAGAAGGTATGACGACCTACAAGTATACTCTTATATTCTACATGTATCTTCCTCTACTTAACAAATACATGCCCTAGCCTAGAGTTCCCTTATTGTTCTATCTCTCAAATAAGGGAGAAAGGTACCTGCGCAGGTAGGGATCGTGCCTGTCCACTGTCCGTCCGACCCGCACACGACCTGAGATGACCCCAGCAGGTGGTAACCATCGTTACAGCTGAAGGTGCACCTGTCGTTCTCCAGTCGGTCTGTACAGTCCACCCTACCGTGCCCGGGGTTGTCAAGAGCCGGGCACTCCACTGAAATGTAAACACGTACCACAGTTAGTCCCAATTTCAATATACTCGCACTAGGTCAGAAATTTATTAAGCTGTACATTAAACATTCCTTTTAGGATACATATTTCTCTTACATGTATTGTATACATGTAAGAGATACATGTATTGTATACATGTAACATGTACATGTATTTTACCCATGCCATTGATATAAGTAATTTTTCTTCAGTGTTGCACCATATCACTTCCAGGTGAGAGGAGCAAATTTGCACTCACGTGACTAAACTACCAACATGGCTGACGCTGTAGGACGTGTGCAAAACAATCATGTGAGACGTGTGCAAACTAATCACGTGGAAAATGCTATAAGTAGTTTTCTTCATCTTCTTCAGCAAGACTACTTTGCTTTTGAGTGTGTCACTCAGTGATCATATGAGTGTGTGTGGTATGTGCAGAATAGCTTATGTAGATGGCTAATTGATTCAACAAAAATTACTGGGACTTTCGTGTGGTCATCTAAAACTAGAAATCTAAAAAAACTAAATACATGTATTAACAAAGCCACCCTATGTGATTACCGGTACATGTGGTTGAGCTCCCGGACCACCTGCGATTCGCCTGGCAGGTTCGCCTGGTGCTGCCGGACAGCCGGTAGCCATTGTTACATCTGAAGGTGCAAGTCTCGGGGTAGCGGAAGGAGGAGCCTCTGTTACAGGTCGCTATTCCATTGGTTGGAGTGGGGTCCGGGCATTGCACACCTGGAGTTGGGAATGCGTTGTTAACCACTAGGAATGCTTGTGTTTTTGCAGGTCCCCGTCAACAATGATGACGAAACCTCATCATAGACATCGTAGACGAGTCGAATGTCACATATGAAAGACATTTTGACCAGTAAACAGCTACTCTGCAAAACCGTAGAAATAGTCAGTACTGCTTGCTCCATGACAAGTATAGTTTTGTTAGTTTATCTAAAAACTTGACAACGTAGTGCATACCGATGCACACGGCGTCGTTTCCAGACCAGGTTGCATCAGTCTGACAGCGTCTCACGCGGCTGCTTGTGGGAGTCGTGAGCTCGTAGCCTCGGTCGCAGGCAAAGTTGCAGACCTCAGGATACCGGAAATAGTAGCCGCTGTCGCAGGACGTCATTGTACCGTGTAGGGGACTCGATATGTTCGGGCATTTCACGGCTGAAATGTAGACCAGATTTAAAACGGGAATTGCAATCAATGATACCAATGACTTGGTATTCTATATAATCAGTATTTTTTCAACTTGCTAACTGTTTCAATTTCAAAATCAGAGCAAATGTCCAAACCTGAATACTATATGCAGGACATGAGATGTTCAGCTGTACCTACAGTACATGTTGAGTAAGATTTTTGGACTTACCTAAGCACGGTATGGTCCCGTTGGTGTTTATGTCGAAAGGAATGGTCCAGTTGCCGTCATGACCACAGGAGTACTCGGCATAGATCAGCCTATCGTAACCAGGGTTACAGTGGAGCAGACAGACGACCTCGTACTCCGCCGCCGTGCTGTCAGGTGATTGGCAGAAGTCAGCTGCAGGGGATGCCGGGATAGAACATCCGAAGTAACCGTTCTCCGGTTCAGCGACCTGTGAGAATGAAACAATATCTTATTTGGTGTACTTGCAGGTTGTGTCATCAATTACACACATGTGTAGCTGCCAAGTTGGTGGACTCCATATATTCAAGTAGGCTACCTCTCAATCAAAACGCAACACTTAAATTAGCACTTAAATCTGGCAGTGCAGAAGATTATACAGGATTCTGTTCATCTAAAGATTCAACACTTCGGTATATTCTCTGCAGCATATTTTGCTCTTGAAACCCCTTTCCGTTAAACATTTTTGCATATTTTAGGAGGGGAGGGCATTGAGAGATTGGGAAGGAATTTTACTTACCGGGAAAGGCGGACAGTGGGTCCGTTCACAGCGTCTCCCGTCCCCGACCGTCCCGACCCGGCAGCGGCAGCTGAAGGTCTGGTGGCCCGTCAGGTCGCAGATTCCGTGCTCAGGGTGGCAGTCGTGCAGGCCGAGCCGGCAGTAGTCGGATGGGACGCATCTTGGGAAAAGTTGAACGAAGTTTGTATTGATATCTCCAGCATTAAGTTCTCCCAGTATGAAAAAATGCGACAAACAAGAGCGAGACCAAAGACATGTAGTCATCTTAAAAGGTTAGAAAATTTCTTCACCTAGGCTTGTCGTTCCATTGTCCAGTTGCCATGCACGTGAAGCTGTGTAGACTGTGGAGATGAAGGTCCTGCTCATTGCCGACTTTGTACCCGGGCTCACAGGTCAGGCGGCAGGAGTCCTGGTACCTGGTACCGCTGCACGTTAGGCTGCCGTTGGCAGGGCTCTGCGTGTTACGAACACGAAATGTATCAGAGTTTTGACCGAGGTTATTCAATTCTTAAACAAGAATGCATGTTGCAAACGTGTTATCATTCCTAAGGCTACTAATTCGTTGAAGGTGAAGACCACAGCGAAAAAAATTACATCAATATTTTGGTTTTATCAAAATTTATGCTTCGGCTTTGGTGAGCTTCAGGGTACGTACAGTAAGGTTGCCGCAGTCCTTCTTCTGACAGAACAGATCTGGTCCCCCAACAACTGACTGGAGCGCTACAGTTCACAAAGAAACAACAGTAGAAACATTAGAATGCATGAGCACTTTAGTTTGCTAATGTGGGCTGTTCTTGGGCAAAGGCCGCTGCCAAAGCAGTATACGCTCTCACCTCCTTCCTGCAGGCTCCAGTTGCCGCTGCTATGACAAGCTACGCTCCGGTGGTTCGTTCCTTCGTACCCGTCCGCACAGGTGACTCCGCAGGTGTTCCCGTAGGAGTGTCCGCTGGCACACTGTAGGGCGGTGTTAGGGAACTCAGGAGGGGAGCCGCAACTCACTGGGATGAATACATATCGATACATTGTCAATATCTTCATAAAGTGTCTCAAATTAATGCTTTTCATTCAAATCTGTTGGAATGCTTTGTTCATATTTTGTCTAGGAAGAAAGGAATAAGGTGCTAAGATCTAGAAGGAACATGCACATAAAATATTATCTCAATGTACCATTTCCCCAGCAATACAAGTATTATTATCACCTGGGATGCACTCCGGTTCCCCACTCCAGAGTTGGTAAAATTCGCAGGTAAAGTTATCTTGTCTCAGCCGTTCGTAGCCCTTCTGACAGGTGAGATGACACGTCTCGCCGTACGTCGTACCTGTACAGGTGACGTCACCGTGTGCTGGGATCTGTTCACACATTAAGCGGTCATGAGTGAATCTTAGACTTTTAGTCTGACGTAATCTCCATGCAGATGCAGTCCATCCAATAACCATGTCGAGAGAGAAGATTCTTTTGGATCTTTCTGATAAGTTAAACTTTTTTGTGTCGCTATTCCATTTCCCTTCTGGTATCTACTTGAAGATTATACTATGCAGGGAATATGGCATGC